GGAAGGCAATGAGGAAGATATAGAGGCCGTGACGGAGGCGGGGAGGGAGGAAAGAAGAAAGTGAGGAATGCAAAGGGTGAGGGAGGAAGTAAGATAGTGAGGAAGGCATGGGGGAAGGGAAGGAAGCTGGGAGGTGGGGAGAAAGGCAGTGAGGAAGGCTTGAGAAGGAAGAAGGGAGGGAAGAAGGAAGGCAGGCTTGGGGAGAGGAAACAGGGAAAGAGGAAGGCATGGAGAAAGTGAGGGAAGCAAGGAGGGAGGAAGCAGGGCAGTGAGGAAGGCTTGGGTAGAGGGAAGGAACAGGGAGGGAGGAAGGAAGGCAGCGAGAAAGGCTTGGGAAGAGGGAAGGAACAATGGAGGGAAGAAGGAAGGCAGTGAGGAAGGCTAGGGGAGAGGAAACAGGGAGGGAGAAAGGCATGGAGGAAGTAAGGGGAGGGAGGAGGGAGTAAACAGGGCAGTGAGGAAGACTTGGGAAGAGGAAAGGAACAGGGAGGGAGGAAGGAAGGCAGTGAGGAAGGCTTGGGAAGAGGGAAGGAAGCGGGGAGGGAAGAAGGCATGGGGCAAATGAGGGAAGCAAGGAGGGAGGAAGCAGGGAAGTGAGGAAGGCTTGGGTAGAGGGAATGAACAGGGAGGGAGGAAGGAAGGCAGTGAGGAAGGCTTGGGAAGAGGGAGGGAGGAAAGAAAAAAGTAAGGGATGCAAGTAGGGAGGGAGGAATGGAAGTGGGGGAGGAGAAGGTGAAGAGGGAAGAAGGAGCGAGCGAACGAAGCGGAATACGAAGAGAAAGAGAAAGAAAGATGCAATGGTGAAAGAGGAAATAGACGGGAGAACAACGAAAAAACTTCTACCTTCAGATATTGTGCTTTCCTCATCCTCAGGCTCCACATCATCATCTTTGTCCTGCATAGACGCTTGCTCATCAGATGACATCCTTGAAAGTGCTCCTAGAAGGAAACGAAATTGGGCAAAAGTTCTCAAAAATATATTGAAGAAGAAAGAAGAAAGAGATACACAAATAAAGATCAAAATGGAAGAAAACAATTACAAGAAAACTTATTACAAAAAATGGATTAAAGCATAAACGAAGAAAAGAAAGAGACACAGAAGAAGATAAAAGCAAGACAAGAAAAAAGAAAAGAGGGAAAGGAGAAGGAAAAATGGGGAAGGATGGACGGAAAGGCAGGGGTGACATAAAAGTGAGGAAAGGCAAAAGTGACGGAGAAGGAAGGGGAGCAAAGAGGGAAGAGGCTAAGGAGGGTAAGGGAGGAGTGAGAGAGCAAGGATCGAGGGAGAAGTGCAAAATGTAAATGAGACAAAAAGGGTTCCGAAAACAGCAAACCGAAGAAAATAGCCAGGAAATGGAAAAAGTTATTCCCAGATAGATTGAAAGAGAGAGATAGAAGGGAATGGTGATAGGGATTAAATAATAGCAAAATGGGAAAAAGTAAGTTTGCAAAAACTAATAAAGAGAAAGGTAATAATAAAACGTTCCTCTCCGGTAAAATATATTTTACTCACTGTTTCTTATTTTCTCCTCGGCTCTTTTCTTTACTGTGGTGCATTTGTCCTCTACCTTCTCTCTCAGAGCTCTAAACTTGGTCACGAACTTTTTTTCAACGTTTTCCATTTCTGTGGTGATAGTTGCGATATAACAAAAGAAAGATTATATTCAATGCTGATGTAATTTTTTGGAACAATGCCAAGTTGAAAGAGCACTACTCATCAGGTAATTAAGCCCGACGCTTAACAGGGACGAGGCAATTTCGTCCCCTGGGCTTTAAGCCGGCCCGGGGACGAGATGGGATGGCGGTGTGAACTTACTACTTATGTACAGTTCCTGGAAATGGTCACATAATTTACCATCTTAACGAGACAGGTACTCAATTTGAACAGTGGAGAGGAGAAATGTGACGTCACGTTAACATGGTAGCAAAATCTCTGGATCTCAACAGTCTTTCTTAACAGAGACGCCGTCATTTGTTTTGTCAAACGATTAAATAAAAGTATGGACTATCGTCTTGTTCTTGAGTGCAATCATGCACGGAAGAGTCATACAAGTCATTTTGTTCGTTTTCTTTCCCTCTACATATTAACAGCACCGCAATTTGTTGAGATCCAGAAATTTTGTTACCATGGCAACGTATTAACGTAACGACTTCTCCTCTCCTTCAAAAGAAGAAGACATTTTGATAACGTTAAAATATTTCTGTTTAAACTATTTTGAGTCTGCAGTTGCTTTCAGTTGGAAATAGCTAAGAATTTAATTTTTTTAAATTTCTCATTCAAACACGAAACGCTCTATGTAAAAGGGAAATGATAACTTCGCCGATTTAATGGCAAAATATTCTGTTTTTAAAATCCTAAACATGACTGTTATATCACTCTACCTGCAAGCCGTTCTTCTCTTTCCCTTGCTTCCACTTCCCTGCAAACTAATTAAGATATTAATTGTTACAGTCAAACTTTCACTAACGGTCACCTCTCCACAACGCTACTTGTTTTGGCGGACAGTCCATACATTGAGTCATGTTAAACCTCTCTAAAACGGCCACTTTCTTCTGTCCTCGAGGTGGCCGTTGTGGACAGGTTCAACTGTATTTACCTTAGTTCTAGGTTAGAAGCGGAAAGTTTCCAGTTGACTGTAAAAAGCACACGCGACTTTGTTTTCTCTGACGACGTTGGTGTCTAAATTAAATAAGAACTTAATAACAATTGCAAGATATCGTGTGCTCAAACATTTCAATCTCATCTCCAAATGTGAATTCTGTAAAATTGTTTACAAACCTTTGGCGACTCTACCTTGATTTTATAGTTTTCTAATCATCCGATAAATTTGGCATGTTTCCACTTGTAACTAAGTGAGGTTTGGGGCTCCCCCCCAAAAAATATTATGACGTAATAAGCGCTAAAACGGCGTTGATTGGTTAAAAAAAAACCGTGCGACTGCCTCTAACCAATTGGCATAATACACTGCTCTTAAACTGTTTTTGTTTTGGTTTGTTTCGCATCGGTTGGTATCTTGGTAGCTGAAAGCCAATATAACTGAATTGGTGCATAAACTTCCGCAGTGTTTGAGGCAAATTTTGAATTGAGTCAAAGTCATTTGATTAGTATTTGATTAGCTTGATTTTGACTTGGCTTGGCTAGTATGATGAAGTGAGCATTGTAACAAGCTTGGCTCCAGTGAGCAACTGGTCTTCTCACTCTAGTCTTTTTCACTAATTTGTCAATAACTGAACCGAATCACTGCACATACATACCACAACACTGAAAATCTCCGCCGTGAAAGAAATTAAACATAGGTGTTTGCCTAGTCTTTAGCGCATGTGCTAGGTGCCAGTATACATGCTGTCCCCTTTTTCCAATTTCCGTTAGTAGTTCAGAAGCTTTTCTCTCGGGGGTGCAGAAGACAAGGTCGTTGAAGATTCGTTCTTGATCCGCTTGATCAAAAATCCCGTACGATCGTAGATAAATGCAGATTTTGAAGAGATCGTCCTCGCGTGTATTCCTGTTTACGAGAATAATTTTGAGAAAGAGAATGCAAAAAGCAATGATGCAGTGCAGCAGCCCATGCCTCCGTGCGGTGCAAAAGACCTAAACTTTGTTTGAAGGAAAGCTAACCGAATTCCAGAGAAAAGACAAACGCATACAATAAAATCCACGTGAAATTCAGGATTTGGTCTTGTAAGACAACGAAAAATATAGTGAACAAAGACCATCTCATCTCATCTTTTCATCTCTGCTCTGGCGAATGCGGTTTTAAAACAAACAATTACAAAAAATCTGAGCAAACCAATTTCAATTAAATAGAATATTCCGTTCGGAATCGCTCGAACTTCATCAGCAATAAAGTAGCAGTATTTCGTACAACAGGAAAAGAGGAAAACTACCGGCTGGCTCAAAGCGTTACTATCAAGGAAGTTTAATGACGTAAAAACAAACTCAAACATTAAAGACTTCGAGAAGAATACCTTGCAAAAAGAACCAAAAACTCGTCAAAGCATCCTCGCTCCACTGTGCGCACGAATCTTTCGATCTTCTTCTTTGTTCCCTCTGTGAAGAGGTTATTTTCTTCAAGAAACTTCGAGCAATCTTCGAGCTGGGAATGCTTCGCCATTTGGTCTCGTTGTTTTTGACAAAACAATCACAGAGCGCTGGTTTATACGTAGTTTTCTTTGCTCATTAATTATTCATCACGTAACAAGGAAGCTAAGCTATTATTTATTGCAGTCAAAAATAAAGCATAGTCTGGTCAGGGCTGACTGAAAATGAAAACTCCCACGAGCGTTTAATGAACAGTATTTGGCCAAAACAGAATAGCTCTCTAATCTGTAGCATGTACCTAACATATGGAAACATATACGAGTCATTGACTGCGAGTAAACATAGCTGTAGGTCAGTCGTCCAGTGTGCGGCAACAAAATGCGAAGCGGGTGTAGACGTTTTAACATAATTTTTACAATTTAAGTTTAAACGTAAACAATTAAGGTAATTATGCATAAATTGGTATTTTAAAGTTTGCAAGTCTGTTTATTAGTCAAGTGGGAAACTCCGCCTGATCAGGCAAGGATTACTTCCACAAGACAAACACATGTATGACTCATTTAAAAGAGTCTGCCTGTGTCAAGAGGTAATTGTCAGCGTGGTGAGAAAATTAAACAGACTTTTGTTATTTACTTAAACTGTTTATACTTTATTCGTCGCCAGGGCTAATAACGTTCGTCACTTTATTTTTATCTCAAGTGCCTGCAAGTTTACACACTATAGGTGGTTTTCATGCAATCTCGGGAGACACACATAACAATGGTGAAATGAACAAATGCTGGTGGACAAACAAAGCGAGCTAATGAGCGATCTTTTGTTTACCGTCCACCAGCATGGCGGCGATGACGTAACGTGAAAACCACCTATATTGCTCTTGGTTTTCTTGGTTGTGTCCAAAATACAAACTTATTCCGGTTTATGAAACAGTCAGTAAATATACAACACGGCACTTTTCATTTATACCTACTACTTCCTTGCCTAAATGTTGAAGACGATCAGCATTTTTTCATCATCATCATTATTTCATCATCATTTTATCATCGTCGTCGTCGTCGTCGTCGTCGTCGTCATCATCTTCATTAGGGAGCTTAAGTAACCACGACGACAACCACAACGACAACTTCAAAAAACAATAGGTTTAATGATCAAAACAACAACTCTGCACGTGCATCACACTTTTTTGTACATTTCTTTCCCGGTTTTGCCCGACTACGACGTGAAAATGCCTACTTTCTCGTTTTATGGAGGACGTAAACGAGCAAAGACGAAATTTTATTTCTCTTTCTAAGCTTGAATTTGCAATTGGTCCCTTGAAATTCAGCTTCAGGAGGGTTCGCCTACAATTGACAAAGTAAGTGGGTAGGAATAATCGCTATAAAGACTGAAAGAATGCAGATTCACTTTTTAAGCGACGTTCTTGTCGCCGTCGCGTCGTTGCATCTTAAAGTCCCTGCTAGGGAGCTTAAGTAACCACGACGACAACTTCAAAAAACAATAGGTTTAATGATCAAAACAAAAGCTCTGCGCGTGCATCACGCTTTTAAGTACATTTCTTTGACGTTCACTGCACAACTACTACGTGAAACCTCCTAATTTGACGTTTTGTGGGGGACGTGGACATACGACGACGAATTTTCCTTCCTCTTTTTGAACCTAATAAAATCCTTAATAATTCAACTCCAGGAAAAGTTGCCTGCATTTGACATCACAACTATAAATTTTGCCGTATATGAACCAAAGCCAAATGTCATTTTGCTCTACAAGTTTGACTTAAGTCCTGTTTTACTTCACATTTTCTTACCTGGGTCGTCTCGTTGAGATCTTAGGATATTCACCAATGAATATTTGATTAATATTTCCTCATACATATGGAAGGTTTTAGCCGTTCGATTAACTGAGTACTGCCTACTCGGAGATTGCTATCAGGATTGCTATTAAAGACTTTAATTATCCTTAGGTTTCTTAAGTTAAAAGCAGGAGGTTGATTGTCAGATGGAAAGTATGTAATTGCTGGTTGTCGTATAGTGTCCTTGTTTTGATCGACCTGCATGACCCTTCGTTAAAAAAAACAAAACAACAACAACAACAACAACAACAACAACGACAAAAAATATATATATATAAACAAATCCAGGTAATTCACCGTTGGATCCAGAACAGTGCTCAACAATTAAGGAGCGGTTTAACAGTAAATAGACTACTCAATATGAGCACATATGGATTTTAATACATACGTCTGTTTCGTTTATCAACAAAAAGTAGATCCACTCATCAGTTAAACTCCATACACACTGAAGCATCACAACGGTTAACACGGCAACATGATCGCGTGACATATTTTTGCGGTTGTCATGACAGAGGCGTTATTCAAAAAGTACTAATTTATAAAAAACCTACGCGCGCTTATGATACAATAAACAAAATTTCAGGAAATTATATATATATATATATATATATATATATATATA